TATCTGATCCATGTATGCATTAACTTTATGTACTGTATGCATTTATAATTTTTATACAATGACTATGTTAACATAGTCACTGAGAGTGATACTTTAAAAAAGTAAAAGACCGCTTGGATGGCCTAAAGTTTAGTAATACATTTAAAATCGAATAGGTCAGTGAGTTTTGAATGAAAGTACATAGCCCGAGATTGAAGGACCTGACTTGGCTACGCACATACCTTTGGGAACATTCTAGTAACATCACTAACATGGAATACCCACAGTGTTGATTATCCGGGAGCTCTTGTTGTTTTTGGTATTTAATTAAGGATTATGAGATCGAAATGCTAAATTCTTATAGTTCGCAGAAAGCGATTATTCCCCCCTTTGCCCCTCAGGAAATGGAATGCCCTGTGTCCTGTCTTTTCAAATTACACTACTAATAACAGGCACAAGTGCGGAAAAGAGCTTGTATTTCTTCACATTTTACCCAACCCATGAATGTAGGAAAAATAAATTCAAGGATTTTCTTTTGTGTGAAAACGTAAAAATAACATGTTTTTTCCAAGAATTGAAAATTTTTCCCGTACTAATATACTTTGAATTGAATCAGAGAACCAGTTTTTGTTTACATTCATTGTGAAAAAATTCATTAAAAAAACTGCTGAGTGCCATTTGGTGGGCGGTAAAATAACTGGAGTAATATGTTGGCCAACAATTAATTTTTTTTTTGAAAAAATATTACAAGAAAAAAGTTGAGAATCGAAAGGCCCGACATAACTGTGGAACATTTATATAAGATCTTTAGTATGGGATATTCATGATTTTCTTTTTTCTTTTCATTCGAGAAATATGTAAGTTTCCACTTTAGGTTCGTTCACGTAAAGGTGCAGTAGATGTGAGTGCAGTGAATGAGCAACGTCGAATTTGCCAGGCCTTGCTAACTGAACAACGCAATCAGACATCGTTTTTTGTTGCCGCTTTATTACCTGTTCTTGTAAGTTTACTGTTTTGTTAAGTACCATTTTTTTTTTTTTTGAGTGATCAGAAAATCCCAAGTTGATAAAATACCTCAACATGGCTTAGGATTGACGGAGTTCGATAAATTCATGAATTACGGTTCGAACTGGCCGTTTACTTCAGAGATTATGGTTCAGACTACCAATGGTCGAAAATTATTTATCAATTTAAATGTGCTCCGGCTGCTCCACTTGGACCATCCACTTATGTTTTGGTCTTCAAATGACCGTTACTCATTATTATTTTAGTTAAATTAAAGTTTTTTTAGGGAAAGTATGAAATTTCATCGCTGAGTGCAAGGGTGACTAAATTATTTCTAAATTCCAGAATAATCAGCTTGGCCTCCTGGATGAGAGCAGTCATGTTCGTCAGGTAACAGAACATTTGCATGGAGCAGTGCGGACGAGCAAATCGACAGCAATAATTGATACAATTCTCAATGATATCCATCAAGGATCGGATCATTCCTGGCGCAGTTGTCTGTCCAGCAATGCTAATCGATCATCCTGTATCTATGGTACTGCTGGTGATGATATATCAGTGAGAACATCATCACCAACACCAAGTACATGTACATGGCCTGCTTCTGTTGATGGTTAGATTTTTTTTTTTTTGAAAATATTTTCGGATTATTTTAGAATTTAGCTTGAAAGCTGGACAAAATCAGAATTAACTGACTAAGTAAGTAATTTTTGACTAAGTAAGTAATTTTTCTAACTAAGTAATTTTCGACAAAGAATAGTGAAGTATGAATATGCACTGTTTTTCGGAAAAAAAGGAAGGAATACGAAGGGAGGGAAGGAGGATTTGACTCAGACCTGGGCTGACTAACAGCTGTGAGGCCAAAAGTAATTTTTGGCGAAAAATAGTAAAGTATGATTAAACATCGTGTACATCTATTTTTCATAACGAGGAGACAGGAGTTGGGGGGCGGGGGGAGGGAATTTAACTCTTGATTTAATTTAATTGCATAAAAAAGTTACTTCTCTCAGTCGATACAGCCAAAAACTTCTTCATTCTATACATTTCTGAGGTTGTCGCATTTATTTTACGGTGGATGGGCTTCCTGTCTCTTTGATAGTTATCCCAGAATTCGGCAAACACTGCGTTGCAAACATTGTTGAATCTCGGCGCTTAGTGAATTTGAAGTGCATAAGTATAGAAGCTTAAAAGTTACTAACTTGAACCCGTCGGAATTGAATTTGTCGGTTTGAAACGGATTAATTTGCGCCAGTTCAGGTTATACTTCAAATTCGGGTTCTTCATCGTTGCGGGCCCATACGATATCAATTGGGGAGCAGACTCGGCGTGCAGCAGTCAATTCGAGAACCTATACACCACCATCACCATCACAACCGTTCACTTTTGCCCTCAAAAAGCCACCGCTACCGAAAAGAACCATCACAGCAACGAATTCAGTGGTCGGCACAGTACCCGATTTCAGTGGATCATCGGACGAACAAGTGAGTTTCAGCTTTTTCTTTCCTGAATTTTGTAAACTAAGTCTGCTTGCGTAATGAAAGTGGTTGGTATAAATTGAATACAGGCATCTCCAGATAACTATATGTGTGTGTGCATGTATAGATGTGTATAAATTTATGTGTCTGTAAGTATTTGTGTATATGTGGATGTGTATACGTGTATGTGTGTGGGTATATGTGTGTATTTATGTGGGTGTATGTATGTGGGTATATGTGCGTATATATGTATGTATATGTGTGTACATGTGTTTGTGTGCATGTATGTTTATTTGTACGCATATATATGCTTTTCATATGAAAGTATGCGTAACATCAAGATTTTCACTCTATCAGCCCAAGCGGTCTTGGTAATTTTGGATTTTGTTTAAGTTTAAGTAACTTTTTTTTGCAAACTTCTTTTTTTAGACATTTAAACGAAACGGAAGTTTGCTGTCGTGTTCATCGACCGATATATCGAGCGAGACAACAGTGCGACGGCCATCCAGACCGCTAAGTTTTGCTTGCGAAGATGTGGTAACGGCACGCCCGAACGGTACACCACCAACAGTTCGTAATGGCCCTGTCAATAATGGTACCTGTACGGCGAATGATGGTAAGTCGAAAATTTTTTCAAAATTTATGCTCTTTTTTTTAAGCTTCCCAGGATTTTTGCACTGAACGCCACCACTCTAAAGTGCGGTAAAAATTCTACGGAGCTTTTGATTTTGCGCATTTCCAGGGCCGTTTTTTTGCAGGAAATGCTCAAGCAAAGAAAAATATTTCACTGATCGCGGAAACGATTGAGCAAATTGACAAACTTGGCTCCGAATTGGATTCC